TGTCTTTGTACTGAATTGTGCTATACAAATAAATTTGCCTTGCCTTGCCTTGCCTTTTGTGATGTATTCCATCCAGAGACATTGAGACAGAAGTACAATTCTAATGCTGGCATTCAGGTGGCTAGGCAATGGAAAATTAGATGATCAGCCCTGTGAGGTAAATGTTTGCAATGTCAAACCAGCGTTAAAAAACTTTTGCTAAAAATTAAATCTAAAAAACTAAATATTTTGCTGTTACCATCAAGCTCTTTTAATGTGCTACTTGAAAAAACATAAAAATAAAAACACTGATGGAAACACATCTGACTCCAGTGATTTTGCTTCTAGATAAAAAAAAATACGGTTATTCTTTGCGAATATGAAACATTTTCCCGCTAAAAACTTATTTTCAAATACTAATTATTGCTGTATGTACTGTTCATTATTTATATGCTTTTTTAAATATGACTAATTATTTCCTAAATAAAAAAAAATTTATTTCGAGAATAAAGTTGTAATATGAGAATAAAGTCATAACATTACGAGAATAAAGTCGCAATAAGAATAGTCATAAAATTACGAGAAAAAAATCCTTATATTATGAGAATAAAGTTGTATTTTATGACAACTCTTACAAGAAGTCCTTTCTTCCCTAAAATGAGGAATGTGGAGCATCATGTGAAGTTACACTTTGAATCGGTTTGACAAATAAGGAAATCTTTTAGCAGCAGCATCAAACTGGGCAGGATGTCAAAGTGGACTCAGCTTGCTGATTGGTGGAGCTAGTCGGCTGCTGGTCGGAGCTCGAAGCTTTCTTTTTGAAATGGGTTGTGGTATGATGACTTCATTCTCGTTATTTTTCAACTTTATTCTTGGTAATGTTTAGGGGTGGGTATTGGCAAAGAAGTCATGATTCGATTCGAATCACGGTTCACATGCCACGATGCGATTCTATCACCATGTATCACGATACTTGAAATATTGCGATGCATTGCGATATTTTCACTGAACACTGTAAGAAAAAGATACAGCCCTTACCAGTGGCTGACTGGCTGCGTATGATCTGGATCGTGTCTTCAATTGATACATAACTGAAAGCATCTGAATTCATACATAGCTGTATTTATTGAAATAACTTTTGGAGGTGTTGCTATGAAAACAAATACTGGACAGAAATATTACTATTACTGGCGTGGACACACTGACAAAAAGATCTTAGGATTCATCAAATTCATTAAAATAACAAAATAAGGATAATCAGAGCCGTTTACATGGCCTCAGTGGTCCTTTAAACCAATGAAATGAAAACATTCAAATGTATATTTCCCCTTTTGCAAATTACATGCGTCATATCAATTTCGTTTTTACCTTCTTTGTTTTTAAAGCCAAAATGCATCCAAGTATCTGTCTTGAAATGTGATGGAGCCTTGGGGCGAATTTTCATAGTGTCCTCCATGTTTTATTTCATATGACTCGTCTCAGTATCCCACGGCCGGACATTGTGACCCAAAGCAGCGGGCGTCAACAAATCCGCAGCGACATCTGCTGGACTGGAAGTTGTATTCCACTTGATTTGGCTGATGTGCGCCAACCATTCATGTATTGTATTTGTTCTTTTTTTTTTTTAACAATCAATTCTTGCCTTCAAGAATCGATGTACAGTAGTAGATTGCAAAAATTAGAATCACGATGCATCGTCGTGACAATTATTTTGCACACCGTCGTAATGTTACGACTTAATTCTCGTAATGTTACGACTTTTTATGTCTATGATTATTTTCGTAAATTACGATTTTATTTTTGAAGTAAATAAAAAAAATTCTAGCCTGGCCCTAATACTCCGTCATAATACAAGAAAATAGCAGATGTTGATGAATGTGAAGGTTAGCATTTCTTTTCTGGGTTTACTGATACAGGTACACGTCTGCTAGCAAAGACTTTGTAAGGCACAACTCTAACAAAAGCCAGATGTTTCTTAAAATGTACAACAAACATGCATCATTAGAAATGCACCAACATTTACAGAGCAAAATCCAGAAATATTTCACAAGGTGATTGTGAAGAAAAATCCAGCTAAAGTATACTTATGATTTTAACAATATTCTATAATATGGTATTTTTTAATTTTATAATTTGTTTCACTTTTTACCACAGCAGTTTTGCCGATTGTTCCTCACCTATGATTGAAAAATGTGGATCTTATCCAAAAGAAAGAGATCGTGGATACAAGTGACGGAAATAAGATCCTTCCCTATGGTTTCCTTAAAGAACTGGGTGTGGAAGTCGGACATTCAGGAGGGACTCAGAGTAGAGCTGCTGCTTCTCCACTAGAAAGGGTCAGCTGAGGTGGTTCAGTCATCTGTTTCCTCAGGAGGTACATTTATCAACATGGCTTTTAGGAGCAAATAAGCATTAGGATCGCTGTAAATGTTGCTACAGACTACAAATTCCACTGAAAATCTATTTAGTTCTTTCATCATTCTCCATTAGGAAAATACTTCAGTTTTTGGATGTTTAATTAAAAATTTATATACACATTGTCATATTTTGATTGTCCTTAATGGGGTTCGAGGGGTTAAAGGGGGAAAATTGTTCTAATGTACTTGAAATTGTATTTTTCTTGACTGAATGCTTAATAAAAACACTTTGGAGAACAAAAATGTAAAAATTAATTTGTGCCCTTGCTTATAGCAGTTACCAGCTTGATTTGGGATTTTCAAAGAAGTGTTTACTAATTGCTTACATTTACTTCATTACAGTTTTTTGAAAATCTGTACTTTTCTGGGTATTTTTTGATTAATTGAGCTTTACTTTTATTTTGTTACATTAGAGACATAAAAAATTATACTTTACCTTCTTTACTTCGTTCCTCTTTGAATAGAGAAACATTTGTTTATTTTATTTTCTCTGAATTTTCAGAAAGTTATGCATACTTTTACCTTTCATTTTAAATGTTTTCCTAACACCTAAAAGAACCTAAGATAGTCTTGCTTGCAAAATGGGGTCTGCACTGTCAAGACCAGAAGTTTATACCGAAATCTGTATTCGATTCCCTTGGGAATAGCACTCAGCATATTTTTACTGGTGGATTAGAGTTTATGACCGTCTTAAACTGAGCATAGGAGGAGTTTAAATTATACAGTGAGCAAAAATCCTCATTGAACAGCCAACCTCCATTGTCGTTTAGAAAATGTATTATAGACCAAATGCCCTTTTCCATCCATGGATCCAAATGCAGACTTATTTCTATGTAGCATATATCTATTGTTCTGCAAATTGTGCATGTACATAGTTTTTTTTGTTTGAAAGTAAGCTAGCTTCATGGGGAGTTTATCGGTACTAGCTTGACTTTTGAAATGCCTCAAATCAACTTCGCTTTTACTTTGAAAGTCTTTGAATAAACCTCCGGTTCCATCAGTGCAGTCTGGGTCCTGAAACTGGAGCTCTGGGTCCTGACAATGCAGCTCTGGGTCCTGACAGTACAGCTCTGGGTCCTGACAGTACAGCTCTGGGTCCTGACAATGCAACTCTGGGTCCTGACAGTACAGCTCTGGGTCCTGACAGTACAGCTCTGGGTCCTGACAATGCAACTCTGGGTCCTGACAGTACAGCTCTGAGCCCTGACAGTACAGCTCTGGGCCCTGACAGTACAGCTCTGGGTCCTGACAATGCAACTCTGGGTCCTGACATTACAGCTCTGGGCCTGACAATGTAGCTCTGGGTCCTGACAGTACAGCTCTGGGTCCTGACAATGCAACTCTGGGTCCTGACAATGCAACTCTGGGTCCTGACAGTACAGCTCTGGGCCTGACAATGCAACTCTGGGTCCTGACAGTACAGCTCTGGGCCTGACAATGTAGCTCTGGGTCCTGACAATGCAGCTCTGGGTCCTGACAGTGCAGCTCTGGGCCTGACAATGCAGCTCTGGGTACTAGTGCATGTCTGGGTCCTAACAGGCCAGCTCTGGGTTCTGACAGTGCAGCTCTGGGTCCTGACAGTGCCACTCTGGGTCCTGACAGTACAGTTCTGGGTACAAGTGCATGTCTGTGTCCTGAAAGTTCTGCTTTGGGTTCTGACAGTGCAGCTCTGAGTACTAGTGCAGCTCTGGGCCCTGACAATGCAGCTCTGGGCCCTGACAGTGCTGCTCTGGGTAATAGTGCAGCTCTGGGTCCTGACAGTGCAGCTCTGGGTAACAGTGCAGCTCTGGGTCTTGACAGTGCAGCTCTGGGTAATAGTGCAGCTCTGGGTCTTGACAGTGCAGCTCTGGGTAATAGTGCAGCTCTGGGTCCTGACAGTGCAGCTCTGGATACTGGTGCAGCTGTGGGTCCTGACAGTGCTTCTCTGGGCCCTGACAGTGCTTCTCTGGGCCCTGACAGTGCTTCTCTGGGTCCTGACAGTGCAGCTCTGGGTAATAGTGCAGCTCTGGGTCTTGACAGTGCAGCTCTGGGTAATGGTGCAGCTATGGGTCCTGACAGTGCAGCTCTGGATACTGGTGCAGCTGTGGGTCCTGACAGTGCAACTCTGGGTCCTGACAGTGCAGCTCGGGATACTGGTGCAGCTCTGGGTCCTGACAGTGCTTCTCTGGGCCCTGACAGTGCTTCTTTGGGCCCTGACAGTGCAGCTCTGGATACTGGTGCAGCTCTGGGTCCTGACAGTGCAGCTCTGGATACTGGTGCAGCTCTGGGTCCTGACAGTGCAGCTCTGGATACTGGTGCAGCTCTTGGTCCCGACAGTGCAGGTCTGCAGCCAGACCCCTCTCAAAGAACCTAAGTTACTGTTAAGTTTTCTTTCTCTTAGATAGGTTATTTTTTATATGATTGTGAACAGATAGTTAAACATCTTCTGTTAAGGTATTTTTCCTTAAACTGTTTTTTTTAAGTACTTTATACACTTTATACACTATACACTGGAATTTTAACCTGATTCTCCAAACTGAGAAGACTGCTGCAAAATGCAGATAAGCTACTTACTTTTCATAACTAATCAGTATTATTTCAAATCTCTTGAGGTTAATCTAAACAAATGCATTTTTGTAACGAGACATAGTAAACCCATATTTTTATATTTTTAATAAAGTAAAAGTAAGACAATACTCATCCAAGAAATTAGTCAGATCAGAAAGGCTGATTAAAGTACTACCTAAGTACTCATTCACGAATCTGCTTACCACTCCAGATCTTACCAACATATATACTGTCTTAAAATAATGTATAGAAATATAAAATTACATGCAAATTCTGTTTTTTTTCTAAAAATGAGATAAAAATATATATAAAACATAGTGTAATTTCTTCATAACAATTTTATGTGGAGTGAATACTTCAAAATACATCATTTGAGAACTAGTACTTACAAAATCAAAAGTTACAATATGTTAGAATAAGATTAGAAACAGTAAACTGTTTAAAATATTTTCACTCAAACTCTAAAGATAAACAGATTCAGCAGATGGAAAATATCATCAGACCAATAAGCATTGAGTGCAAAAAGGAAATAAGTGTCTTTATGGTGCATCTTTGTTTAAAAAAAAGCTTCTTTTCACCAAGTTAATTTACACAAAATACACTGAGTACCCAGAAAACTTAATAATAGTTGTGATACTTTATAAGGTTTTGACTTGAGAAAAAATAAAATGCACTAAAACTCCCACTAATCTTAAAAGTACATCTTTTTTAAACAGTAACTCAAGCTACTGTAATTTAACTAGTTCCTACCCACCTCTGCACATTAATCAAAGTTCCTTTTTTCTCCTTTTATAAAAACCCTTTTATTGCCAATTTACACAAGACAATTACTTTCTGATTGTCCAGGATATATGATTTATAATAAAAATATTTTTTGTAAAGTTCTTGTGATATCTATACAGTGATCTGTTTCTTCAGTTTTCTGTGTTTATAGTAGATTTTTGTTACACTTTCCTCTTTACAACCAATAATTTTGTATGAAAAAAGGAAGAAAAATGTATTTCACGTGATTGTGAGTTCCTTGCCTGCTTCCTGGCGCAGGGCGAGCAGTCGGACCACTGGGTAAACTCCGACAACACGCAGTTAATCGGACAAGCCTGCTCGTTACAAGCCCTTGATTCAAATTTGGCACACAGCTGTTGGCAGCTGTTCTTCCAATAATAAGAATCATCACCAGAAGGAGGCCTCCTACGGGAGAAAGAGAGGAAAGTCTCTAAATACATCAATCATCGTCTTCTTTGGATTTCACAACAACATATAATCTGGTTCTTTGTTACTCAACTGCAATTTTTCTAATACAGAAGAGCACAAATTCCAGCATTTTCTGAACTCTGTAGTTGTCGTGTCTCACCTGCTTCTAAACTGAGTGCCGTAGTTGCAGGTTGTGGTGCAGATGGACCAGGAGGTCCAGGGGTAACGGTCGCAGTGACAGGCCAGGCTCCCCGATATGCAGCTGAGGAACATCAGCAGCATCAAGCTGCAGCTAGGAGCCATTGCTGACACTTGAAATGTTTTCACCCCTTGCTTAACAAGTTTCCTATTCAATAAACAAACCCAGTATTATTTTTTTTCACTTTTTTTCCCCAGTTGTTTAAATGCATCTGCTTGTTTTATGCAGTAAAAGTAAGGATAGTTTACTTCTGCAGAAGGTGTTGCTGTAAAAGTTGAGGCTTTAAAAACATCAAACTGACTTACCAGATGAGTTCTTCTGCAGCAGTGGGTTTCAGACAGATATCTGCAGGAATTTAAGAGCAAAAGCAGAGCTGATGAACGCTGCACTGCAGGCAGATCTGAGTCTGAGCTCTCTGTTAGGGGCTGTTATAAAACAGCAGGGATGCTCTGGGAAGTCCCATGGTTTAAGTTTACCAATCAGTGTCAGAAACCACATCAAATATATAAATAAAAAAATAAAAAAACTTGATCAGTGTACAGAAAGTTCTCATATAACACTGCTGCTCAAGGTTGTTACGGGAAGAGAAGGAGCTCTGGAGTTTCCAGGTTGCTGAGATGCAAACCAGATGTCCTGTGTTTCACATAGAGATCTTATCTTCCAGAAAAGGGGGGTGTTTCCTCGCATATCTGACTTTCTTAAGTGGTCCAAGAATTTTCACAATCCAGAGCTTTGCACAATCGAGCAGTTGGTTTGGTAGAAAAACATTTAAGCTAAGTTTGGATCATTGCAGCATTTTGTTAAACAAAACCATCCGAAACGGGAAGGAACAACATCCTGAAGACCAAGGAGCAGCAGACAGATCACAAAGGCTTTGGAGAAGTTTTGATGACATAATTTTCTTATTACAGTGTATATATGTGAGTGTAAAAATAACACTGATAAAATACAGTTGAAATAAATGTCACACCACTGAAATGAGTTGTTGAGAAATATGGTAAACATCTAATTAAAAAACTCCTTTAAAACAGCCTTATTGTAATAGGGTACATGTGAAAGTTAGGGTACATGCTAAGGTTAGGTTACATGTTAAGTTTAGGGTACATGTGAAGGTTATGGTACATGCGAAAGTTAGGGTACTAAGAAGGTTTGGGTACATGTGAAGGTATGGGTACATGTTAAGGTTTGGGTACATGTGAAGGTATGGTACTTGTGAAGTTTGGGGTACATGCAAAGTTTAGGGTACATGTGAAGGTTAGGGTACATGTGAAGTTAAGGGTACATGTGAAGTTTAGGGTATATGTGAGGGTTATGGTACATGGCGAAAGTTAGGGTACTAAGAAGGTTAGAGTACATGTTAAATTTAGGGTAAATGTGAAGGTTATGGTACATGCGAAGATTTGGCTACATGTGAAGTTTAGGGTACAGTGAATTGTAGGGTACATGTGAAGATTATGGTGCATGTGAAGTTTAGGGTACATGCTAAGGTTAGGGTACATGTTAAATTTAGGGTAAATGTAAGGTTATGGTACATGCGAAAGTTAGGGTACTAAGAAAGTTAGGGTACATGTTAAGGTTTGGGTACATGTGAAGGTTATGGTACATGCAAAGGTTATGGTACATGTGAAGTTAAGGGTACATGTGAAGGTCAGGATGCATGTGAAGTTTAGGGTATATGTGAAGGTTAGGGTATATGTGAAGTTTAGGCTACATGTGAAGGTTATGGTACATGGCAAAAGTTGTGGTACTAAGAAGGTTAGGGTACATGTGAAGGTTTGGGTACATGTGAAGTTTAGGGTACATGCGAAGGTTATGGTACTAAGAAGGTTAGAGTAAATGTGAAGGTTTGGGTACATGTGANGTACATGTGAAGTTTAGGGTACATGCGAAGGTTATGGTACTAAGAAGGTTAGAGTAAATGTGAAGGTTTGGGTACATGTGAAGTTTAGGGTACATTGAATTGTTGGGTACATGTGAAGGTTATGGTGCATGTGAAGTTTAGGGTATATGCTAAGGTTAGGGTACATGTTAAATTTAGGGTAAATGTGAAGGTTATGGTACATGTGAAAATTAGGGTACTAAGAAGGTTAGGGTACATGTTAAGGTTTGGGTACATGTGAAGGTTATAGTACATGCGAAGGTTATGGTACATGTGAAGTTAAGGGTACATGTGAAGGTCAGGATGCATGTGAAGTTTAGGGTATATGTGAAGGTTAGGGTACATGTGAAGTTTAGGGTACATGTGAAGGTTAGGGTACATGCGAAGGTTAGGGTACATGCGAAGGTTAGGGTACATGTGAAGTTTAGGGTATATGTGAAGGTCAGGATGCATGTGAAGTTTAGGGTATATGTGAAGGTTAGGGTACCAGCAAAGGTTAGGTTACATATGAAGGTTATGTTACATGTGAAGATTAGGGAACATGTGAAGATTAGGAAACATGTGAAGTTTAGGGAACTTAACCTAAACCAGCATGCTTGTGCTGGCCCCTGAGCCATGCCATGGATCCTTATCAAGCATAACTCTACAAAGGATTCAATGAAAAATAAACTGGAATCATTTTTGTTCTTTTGTATAAAACTTTATTTTTGTTATAAAATGTCCTTAGCTGTACATTAGGTTTAGCATTTCCTTCTACTCTGCAGGAGACATCAACACATCTGAATCACACACATGCTAAAACAGGACAGATTAAAGCTAGCAGCACAACATCGCAGCGTAACTGAAAATAAGCACAGATTACAGATTACTTTACATTCAGTGGGAAAATAGAACCCAGCTGGATACAATAGTTTTTTTCTGTTTTTAAGTGACACTTTTTTAAACTAGTGCAAAAATGCATTTTTCATCTTTATTTTAGAGAAGCCCCCTGAAGGATAAAGGAAATAAAAAAAGAAGGAAAAGTTTCCTTTCAAATGTTACAATTTAATTATTTTAGGCTTCTTTGTGGCAAAAATTAAAAAATTAAGTTCAGAAGTTGGGAAATGGAAGGAAAATCTGGTTTATTAAAGAAGATATAAGACCAGGGTTCACTGCAGGATAACGGCCCTCCACATTTCCAGAGCGGGATGGTGGTCAATGAGTGAATGTACAGAGTACTGATAAGCTTTTTCTGCTTACTTTGGTGGATTGAAAGCATCACTGCATAACGTCTGACCTAAGTATAACTAAATATGAGAAATATTAAATAATTTTTCTGGTCAATATTCCATACTTCCTGCGTTTCAATGCTGCGTGTAGACTGCTCTAATCAAAAGACTCGCTAGTTGAACTTGAAAGGGTCACATCCATTGCTGAATGGGTCATGTGACCCAGACAGCTAAGCTAAACGTTGTTCGCTTACAAAACACATCTGATCTTTATTCTTTTAGACATATTTTTGGTTCTCTGATGTACCAGTTAATCTTCAGGGCTAAATATTTCCTTGGGCGTTTCTCAATTCACGAGAACGTGAGTACGTACTCGCGTTCTCGTCAAGTCCGTTGTTGGCGAGAACGCAGGAAGATCGGACTTGACGAGAACGCGAGCACGCAAGCACGAAACGCCCCTTGTCTTCAACTCTATGACTTCCAAAACACAGAAGGAGACTGTTTTCTGCAACAATAGGGTCATTTCAGAGGCACTAAACCTGCGAGTTTCTGGTCTAACACCCCTAGTGGCTAAAAGGGACACTGAAAAACAGCTCTACCTGATTTTTGAGTGGTGCTCCCCCTACAGGACCTTTTTGAAAACAGCACTGTTGTAAACACTGAGTGCCTCAACGAGCCACTTACCCTACAACTACAGAACTGTCCCCCTCTAGGGAGCTGGAAGATTCATATCAAGACCAAATATCTAAAGAAGTGGGTAGTATTGTTCATTAACAGATATAAACTAGTGTACAGCAATATTCTCTCTGCAAAACTTTACTTTTATACACGTCGGTGAGTCTGCCTCTGGAGTACCGGTACAGTTTTTTTTATAGTCTCTCATAAGGTGATTCAGCCTCTTCATGTTTTATAGCAGCACACTATAATTTCATCACTTTAAAGTTACAAGATTAACAGAGGTTAAATACGGTAGTTAATGACAGGTCTGCATCAGTTCTGCATCCCCGCTTTTATTTGAGATTTTAACTCCTTTCCAAAGTTAATTCTTCTGTCAGTCCTGTCCTGATTCTCTGATGCCCTACCATGTCAAAAACCTCCAAAATAAAAACACAAAAACTGTAGTGTAATCACCAGTAGTGACGCAGGAATCTAATGGATCTTGAGGGAAATATTTGGAAAAATCTGTTGTGCTTGTTCCAGATTGGCTCCAGCGTTAAGCAAAAATAAACCAAGTTGCTTTTTTGGTGCAGCCCACCAATTACAGGCTAACACAGAACATGGAACCATGCACACTTATTGTGAAGAACCCAAAGGCAATTTGGGATCATAAAACTGTTTTTGGACAGCAGGAAGAAGCAGGAGTACCCGGAGACAAACTACCCATGCACAGGGAGAACATGCAGGAAGACCGTCACAAATACGATTGTCAAATAAAAACAGATTAAAAAAATAGTTTTCCTTCCATTTCACAGCTGTGAACTGCGTTTTCCCATCATATAAAGCTGATCAGACACGGAGGCATGGCGTAGCGCGATCCAACACTTTAAAAGGTTTAAGCAGGGCTTGACATCAACACTCCAGCATTTTTTATTTCATCTTCTTAAATGGAATCTGAATTAAACAGGTTAAAATGTGATGCTATAACACTACAATTCCCATAAGCACCCTCTGCACATGTTTTTTCATTGGTCTATTTGTTGTTCCCGTGGAGAACAAAGCTGTGAAGCATAATGGAAAAAAACCAAGGTGTCAGAAACCCGGAGAGGAGAGAAGAACGCCTTAGGATGAAGCGAAGGAAAGGAAGACAAAGAAAAGAAAAGGCGAGTTAATGAGAAAAAGGTTGAGAACGGTTGTTCGTAGGGTCGAAAGTAATCAATTAAGTTAATTAATCTTTAGTAGATAAATCTTATTGATTGACTAACGACTGATTTATAAGAAAAAACTTGAGTTTTCGCTTTAATCGAGATAATTTTTTCGCTATATAATATTTCACAATGAAATGTTTAGCTATTTATTGTGCCAGTTGTGTTGAATACTGAAAGATTGGACTATTAAATGCTTTCTTACTAATTTATATAATATAACTAAATAATAATCTATCAGGTTACTGAATAAAAAAGATTTATAAAATAAGAGAAACACTTATTTCTAGTGTACAGAGGAGGATATGTCACTCTGACACTTTCAGACTATTTCTTACTTTGTTTGAATTAAGTGAACACTAAGATATTACTCTTATGTTTTTAGTCTAATCCACCAATCAGAGCTGGAAGAGGCTTTGTGCTGCTAGCGGTGCTTTTAAAGCAGGTTTCTGATTGTTCTCAATGTTTAAACATGGCTCCTTATACGTACTATTTATCAACAAGAGCCTTTCCCATCTAAAGCTCTAATTGCTAGCATGTTTTCTATCATTACAAAAGCGTTGTAATATGGCCTTCACTTCTCTATCATCAAGTTCTCACGTTTCAGGCGCAGCAAGGAAGTTACGCTGCTCTGACATGCAGCACGTCTAAATAGGCGCCATTTAGGTGATAACTGAAGGAGTTTCCAGTGTTTATATTTACAAACATTAACTTCATTCTGCATCTTTGTCCTCAGTAAACAGTGAAAATATCCCAGACTGGACTCTGGTCTCCATGTTTCTGCTTTAGCATTCCTTTTGCTCCACTTTTACTCCACTTCAAATGTTCAAAAAGAAACAACACATTTTGTTATTTTCGCATTAAAAGGGGCCAAACATAGAACCTAAACATACTTGGTTATAACCTATGGTCTGAAACATTCAATAAAGTTTTTATGAGTGTTTACAGAGTCATTTACATTTTAGAACGTCGTAAATCTAGTTAAAACTTTAGCATGACAGAGTCAGCTTTAATCATATTAAACCTCATTTCCCAACAATTTAATTGTGTCAAGTGATGAGTGGGTAGTAAATTTAGAAAACCAGAGGCTATTAAAAAAAACAAAAAAACAAAAAAAGAAAACCAGAGGCTGTTCTTTTTTTTTTTTTTTTTTTTAAAACAAAAAAAAAAACAAAGAAAGAAAACCAGAGGCTGTTTAAAAAACAAAACAAAAAAAAAAAACACTTGCACTCTTCATTGACATATTTACAGCCCCCAAA